TGAAATGTTGTGTTGGTCTGGAGGGGAAACAAATGGCTAGAATAGCCGCAGCGCCGAATTTTTGCCTTATTCTCCCCTACCTAAGGGATTACCCTGCCTTTGCAGATGTTAGCTTTCCTTCCAGTGGGAGTTCGGATGGTTTTTGGAAGATCTGTAGAGATCTGAAGGCTCAAAAATAAGTCTTTCTTGTAAAAGTTCTTTACAAAAAAACAAAATGAAACAACTCATTCCTTTGATATAACAAATTTAAAAAACCGTAATGAAGACCTGTCAGTCTTTTAGGCGGAGGAACAAGAGAGAAAGAACCAATATGAACAAAGCATACAGCAAGACTGACTCCTCCCTTCTCTTCCAAACCCTTGCTGTCCCCCGCTCCATGCAGCTGTGACTCTTTCTTCCCCACTGTTCCTCTTTCCCAGGGACCAAGTTCTTACTTGTCCACTCAAGGAATCATCCTACATTATTACTCCACCCTGAGCAATTTTTATGAGACCATGCCTATCATATCAGAAAAAAAAATGCATTTAGGACTGTGGCATTACAGGCTCTCTGTTAATGCACAGCACTTCTTAGCCTCTGGCTGGCACTTTGCAAATTTGGTCTTACCCAGTGGTCACTAGTATTAGGTACAGGGTTTGTGTCGACTATGTAGTAGGTGCAGATTATAATTCCCGATTAAATTGAAACCCAGTATTCAGTTAGTGGCAGTAGTGATTTAGTGAATTAAATCCATAATGGAATTCTATTTGAATTTCAAAATCTCTTCCGCCAGTGACCTATCAGAATTGCTTGCAAGCTCAACTAAGAAGCCTGTGCGTGACAATTTGGTATTATGTGTTATCTCCTTTCCTTTGGCTTCTCTATTGCAGAGAAATAACCAGAAGTTGATGAAAAATAGGAGAAAGTGGAACAATTGGAGACTCTTGATATTTGAACAACTGCTGCCTGATAATAGTAGAAGAGCAAATAAATCAGACTTGGATGAATATTTTCTTTCTTTTCACATATACATAATTCAGTCATCTTAATGAAAGTATTCTTTTGAGTTTGATTTTTAAAAAAACTCTGAATACTTTTCTGTCTCTTCTCTGCAATGCCAAGAAAGGTGATTATAAATTTTATAAATTGATTTCCTCCCAGTGAAACAATTTCTTATCTAATTTTACCCTAGTATTCCTAAAGTTCCTAAAATAATAATCTTGTGGCTCTCAATGAATCTGACAGCATAAGTGTGAATCTATTATTTTTTATCTTTTAATGATATTTATAAAGCCTCCCACAAGCTAAAGGAAAGTCATGCTTATTGATTGGGTTTCTACTTGCCACCAGTTAATAATGGGGCTGCAGTTCCAGAAAAGACTCGGTAGATGGCAGTATACAACACAGATTCCTGAGTATTTCAGTCTTTCAGGGGCTACTGACTGGGAAAACATTGGACCAGAATGTTTTTTTTCCAGAGCAGTCCGAGGAAGAACTTGGTTTTGCTGAATCAGTACAGTAAACTGCAGTAATTTGAACTGCACCAAATTGACACCAAATTGACACCAAAGAATGTTAAGCTTTTAAAATGCAGTATAAAAAATACGTACTTCAAAAGTTTTCTGCAATCCATGGCATAATCTTTCAGTTATATGATGTGCTATAAGCTCCATGTGCTTCATATTTTTTTAATCCTTAGAACAAGATCACTCTGGGCAACCTACAGATAGCCTTCTGGACATTTCATAAGCACATGCTGAATATAGCAGGGCTTTGTGGTTTGACTTTTCAACATCATGGGTACACTAATATGAGCATTGGCATACACTTGCAAGGCCATGTTTAGTTACTGTGTTTTTTGATTACTTTAAAACATTTTAATATTCTGCCTGGACTGGTGTGGCTCAATGGGTTGAACATCGTCCTGCAAACCAAAAGGTTGCTGGTTCGATTTCTGGCTGGGGCACATGCTTAGGTTGTGGACCAGGTCCTTCTCTCTAAAAGTAAACAAAATCTTTTAAAAAACAAAACATTTTTATAATTTTGAATAATATTTCACCTGAAACTTAGTTATCATTTTCCAATAGCCTGAAAGGGTATGCAAGATAAGCTAAATTTTTAATTTCAGAAGAGACAGGCATCTGGGTAGTTTTGCCTAAAGCTCTTAAAACAGTGATTACTTAGTAAGCAAAGAAATGATTTCTAATATACTGCTCATTATTAAATACTAGCAAAGGAGACCTTGGTCTACAACAGAAACAGATATTTTTTAAAAAAAGAACTTCCCTAGAATAGGAGTTCTTAGAGTAAAAGAGATGTTATATGTAAATTGTGTACAGCCCTTAATTACACTGAGATTATACAATTTAAGTTGACACACCTACACTCACACTTTGCCAACCTTCCCTCTTGTCTGGATTTGTGTCCTTAGATTGGGAACTTTGCTCTGACCTCTATTTTGCAGTGTGTGTGGCCTGCCTGGCCTTTCCCACTTGGATAAATATACTACATCATATTTATTTTTTCAAACTTCTTTGTCCATTTAGATTTCATAACTCTGGCCAATTCCACAATCTCCTGGAACTCCTAGCTTTGGCTTTCCCTGGCCTGACTCACTGCTGGCACCCAAGGCCCATAAGGCTGCATCACTAGGCATTCTCAGAGTTGTCTCCATTGGACTGGGGGCCTTCGGATTCCAGAATTGGGCTATTGATTGTAGGGGGTCTTTTTCCTTCCTGTCTTTGAAACAACCTCTTTTGGGGATTGCTTTTCCCCTTGCTCTAAATGCTAGTGTTCTTCAGGGTTCTGCCCTAGTCCCTCCTTTCTCACACTGCACAGCTTTCATGGGCCACCCCAACCACTTGTCTGTCTCCTAGCTACCATTTACATTTACATGCTAATCTCTTCGTGTCCGTGTCTGTAGCCGAGATCCTTCTGAGTTTCAGAACTACAGATACCTCTTATTACACCTAGATGTCTTGCTGGCACCTATAGTAGGAGCATGGGGTACATTATCTGTGGTAGGAATACCTGTATTAATAAATAAATTCATTACAAACTATCAACTCATACTTGGACACTTCCTGTAGATAGTCATGGATAGTCATTGATAATTGGAATTGTTTTAGGTGGGAGGAGGGCTTACATATGAAAGTAAAGCTATACCAATTTCATGTAGATTAGTTGACATTGCTTTCAGAGGTCTTTGGTGCTATTTTAAGAAATGAGCATTAAAATGTATAAGGATTCTAAAAAAAGGGACATTTAAAAACAGACCAAAAGATACTGTCCTTTGTTTTCTATATGGAGATGTGGCTAAAAAGATATATGTGTAACCAGCAGTCCATTACATACCACAGGCTGTTTTGTCTACTTTGTGACATTATTTAGCTTCTCATAGCTTTCTCTTAACTCCCTTAATTATGCTGTAACATACAGGACATTGACTGTGTCACTCTTTTATTTTTTTTTAATCCCTTCAATATTTAACAGAGAATCTCAAAAATAGTAGACATTCAATAGATGTTTGTGTGGAAGGCTTGGGGTGTTGCTGGCTTGTATGGAGGTGGATAGTTATTTTTTTAAATATTTATTTAATTCATTTTAGAGACAGGGGAAGGGACAGAGAAAGAGAGGGAGAGAAACATCAATGTGAAGAGAGAAATATCGATTGGTTATCTCCCGTATGTGCCCCGACCAGAGACTGAACCTACAATCCAGTCATGCGCCCTGACCGGGAATTTAATCAGTGACCTTGCTTTGCAGGACAATGCCCAACCTACTGAGCCACACTGGTCAAGACTGGATAGCTATTTTGATTAGTTTATTTCAACTCACCCTATGAGAATGGTCAGCATGCTGCTAAGATGATGCTGTCTTTCGATGAGAGTGACTATGCGCCCCTCCCCCCATCAGAGGCAGGCTCTTACCTCACTAGCATGTGTGAAAGTCCATTTTGTTTTTAATCAGGAACCTATGGAATCACACTTATTTTGTGATTTAATCTTACCTCGTAGAAGCATTAATTGAAAGATTTGATTGTGTGAAGTGTCCTCTGCTGAGTTTATAGGACTTTGCTGACTCTAATTAGTCATTGTTGTTTCTTGTTATGCAATGATGCTATGCTAAGGAGCTCACTAATAGAATTTTAAAACAACAGCAACAACAACCAACAACAACAACAACAAAACTGAAAAGCTAATGTCCAGCTGATAATTTCTGACAAGGATTTTTAAAAGTGCAGAAGATCAAATGAATCACACCTGTCTCTTCAGTCAGGTGATAAACTATCAGTAAAATGCAAAATATGATGGAAAATGTAGGTTGGATCCAGGGTTTTCATTCCCTGAATGTTACTATGATTATCAAGATAGTATGGATACATTGTTCCAGAAGCTGAAAGAATTAGTTTAACACCTATTTTAATCAGACTTCAATAGGATTGGATTGAATTCATAAAACAGAAAACTGCAAAAGTTGACTGATTTCAACAGGGTAGAAGTTTCTTTCAGTGTTATGTGAAAGATGACTACAGGTAGGCAATCGAGAGAGATTTAGGACCACACCAAGGTCACACAGCTTGGGGATAGTAAAGACTTAAATGCATCACCTAAGAGTTAAAGATGATAATAGCACCTTACTCCATTAAGCAACAAGGAATCAGTGCTGGAAAACATGTAAGAAAAATGAGAAAAATTCCTGGCACACAGTAAGTGCTTAGTAGGTGTGATTTATTAATGTAAGGGAGCCAGAGGTGAATTGTGTGCTCACATTGATAAATGTATAACTAACATTGTGATAATTTACATGGAGGAAGGATGCAGGGTAAATTGATGGTATAATAAGGATTTCTGACCTTAGTCTGGGAAACACTCTCCTGAAGACCTGACACCCCAGCTGTATCCGAAAGATAGATGGTGGCTGGCTGGGGCTGGTCCCAGTCAGAGAGAACCAGCCGGTCCTGAATTCGGTGGGAGCGCAGGGGAAGGAATGAAAGGGGGCTTGCGTCTGGGTTTCAGAAGATGAGGCTGGAGAGCGGGGAGGAGCCAGAAGGACGTGGTAGGGGTTTTGGTGTAAAACTGAAGAGCGATGGGCAGCCGCGGATAAATTGGTGGAGGAGGGAGTTACGACGCCGACGCCGGGATCCCTGCCTATTCACTTGAGCCAGATGGGCAGTCTCTGACCTCCGTGAGGCTGAGAACCCTGAGGCAGGATGGGAGGCAGTTTGCCTTGATGTACCTCTATTCCCAGGGTGGGGTGAAGCTCACACTGGCTGAGAGATTTACAAGCTACATTAAGTGATACTACATTAAATGTCAGATTATTAGGTGGAAAGGAAATTTATTTCGACTCTGACTTTCTTACCTACACAAAAATATTTCAGTAGCCCTAAAACAGAGGAGAAAACATATGGATAATCTGAAAACACTTATTTGGTTCTGGAAACTGCTAAGTAAACCGACCAGGAGCAGGGTCACATGTATGTCCTTATTTCTGCACACTAAGCAGTCACTCAAATTCATGCTGTTCCCCTACGGGTTCTGCTCAGGGTCTGGTCCTGCACGTTTCAAGAAGGGTGGTCCCACTCAGTGTGACTAAGCATTACTACTTTATTTGAGAGTGAGTAGCCTCAGGTAATTGAAACTTATATAAAGACTCAGGTTGGAGCCTGTTATTTTTACAGATAATTTGCTGCTGGTAAAGAATTCTGTTGCCTGTCGTTATACATATAGGAACACACCTTGTCAATAAAACATGTAAATATTATTTAATTTTTCTATCAATATTTTTGACCAATTCAGAAGAAAAAAAAATAAGTGATCCGCTAGTGGGACTGGAGTAGAAATTATATGTAAGCAAATATATAACTATACAATCTACTCATCCCTAACTGTTTTTGTAGAGAGTCTGTCTTTAAAATAATCATGGATGGACCTGTAGAGTACTATGCTAAGTGAAATAAGCCAGTCAGAAAAATAATACAAGTACCATATGATTTCACTTACATGTGACATCTAATGAACAAAATAAACTAATGGAAAAAATAGAAATAGAGGCATGAACACATGGAGCAGACTAACAGCCCTCAGAGTCGGGGGGCGGGGGCTGGATGAAAGAAGGTGAAGGGATTAGCCATAGAACAGACAGACAGGACACAGAGATACAGATAACAGTGTGGTGATGGCCAGAGGGAAGAGGGAGTGGGTAAAGGGAAGGGGGGGGGGGATGGGGACATCTGTAATAGTGTCAACAATAAAAAATAAAATAAATAAAAATAAAACAAATGAAGAAGTGGAACACTCTGCATATTCCCCATGCCCAAAATGTTATCTTCCTGGAGTTCGACAGGAGAGAGTGGGGGTGCTGTCACCAGGCTTTGGGGCCCTCCACCTTCTCTCAGGCAGACGGAGGTGTCCACTGTAATGTACAACCAGCGAGCAGAGAGGGTGGGAGGATTAGAGAGAAGAGGAGGCTGCCAGGCCACCCCGCTACAGCTGCTGCCTTTTGAAAAATACCTACTGTGTTTTGAGCAAAAACACATCACCTCTTGTAAAGATCTTAGATTCCTGACAGGGCGGACCATGTGCCCCTGCCCCACCAGAGGCAGACTCTTATCTCACTAGCATGTGTGAAAGTCCATTTTGTTTTTAATCAGGAACCTAGGGAATCACACTTGTTTTGTGATTTAATCTTACCTCGTAGAAGCATTAATGAAAATTAAAAAGTATTCTGAAAATTAAAAATATTTTCACTTTTACTATGCTCTAATGTGGGTATTAAGATATTACAGAGAGGGAGTTGGGGAGCTGGGTGAAAAAGTTCAAGGGATTAAGAAGTACAAATTGGCAGTTACAAAATAATCACAACGATGTGAAATATAGTATAGGAATATGGTCAATAACACTGCGATAACCACGTATGATGTCAGATGGGTACTAGAGAAATGGGGGGGGGGTCACTTGATAAGTTATACAAACGTCTAACCTCTATCCTGAACACCTGAAACGAGTATAATATTGAATGCCGGTTGTAACTGAAAAATAAAAAAAAACATATTACAGATAGTGGCTCCAAGCTCTCCAAGAAATACGGTTGATTAAGTTTACTTGATTGGATTCTGCTGATTTAGTTGGTCCAGTCAGTGGGGTCAAACCCTGATTGTGGATGGAGGCTGTGTCCCCAGGACTATAAAGATGAGGAGTGTCTGAGCTCAAACACACTTCGGAGGGTCGTGAATCACAGGAGAGGTGGAGGTACAGAGTTTGGACCTTAGGCACCTTAGCTGAAGGTTGTTAATTCACGGTAAGGGATCTCTTTTGTCTGGGCTATTTCCCCTGCTCCATTTCTCTCTCTTTGCTACAACTAATCTTTCCAATGCCTTTACTTTTGGATATCAGGAGAGAAAGAATTCATCTTATTCTGAGTCAGGGAACTTTATTCACCTTCCTTTCTAACATCACCATTTAAATTTTTATATATTAACTTTAGGTCAATTTTATATGTACATGTATTTTTCTGTGTTTTCAGCTACTGTATATGGTTTAAAAAGAGTTCCTTTTTACTTCCTAACATTTCTTCAAGGCTTTTCTGGGTTTTCACTTTAGTATACTTACAATGTTCAATCACTGTGTTATAATTAACTGAATCCTTTCATTATTATATAGTTGGATCATTTCAGATTATTTGGGATCATAGATAATACTGCAAAGCAGAAGTTTTTATGATGTAGCATTTTTTTCTTCTGCAAAATTGTTTTCTTAGATAATCTTCAAAGGTAGGTTAGGCAAGCACATTTAGATTGCAAGCACCATTTCAATTTGTCAGTGTGTTTTTGGAAATGGTGATAGGGGATTTGAGAAAGAAGATTATCTCTGTTGCTACTCAGCCAGGCCACACCAGGAAATGGGAGGCTTCCGAAGACTCCACATTGCGCTGGACAGATGTCCTCTCTATGGTTATACAACTTTGTATCCCCAGAGTCCAGCTGAGGCTGGAAGCATGGAAGGCTAATAAGTATTTTTTGGGTGGAGATGAGTTCCAGGATGCTCTAGTAACCCAGTTTTTTGTCCTTAAAACTGATCCTATGATGGGCATAAGATTCATTTTGCAGTGGTTTTGGTTAGTTTTATTCAGATAGGGTACTTTTCTTTGAAATTTTGAGGGCTCCTTAGAGTCACTTTTCTGTGATGAGTAGGGTAGAATTGGCTTTATGATTGCATCTAAATGAGGAAATTATTTTTCTTGAACTGCAGGTAACCTACAAAGGAATATTGACTGGGGCCAGAGACTGCACTCCTAGAACCTATTGGACTCAGCTCCTAGTTATAGTTAACTCTTAAACTTCACCTGGAAGTCTCCAGACAAGGTAAATTGCCCTACTTGAAAAGGTAATATCCACTTTCCTATTTCTCTCTATTGTGACCACCTAGATTTTAGATTGTTTTCATAGTTTTTCTCACAGATTTTGTCTTTACTGTGATCCTCTGGTGACTTAGTGTCACTTTCATGTATGAACTATAGAAAGACTTATGTTATTTAATTTTTGTATTGGGTTTAGGTACATCCTGATTGTTGAAGAGAAGATACTGTACCGATGGCTCCTGATTGCTCCCAGAAGGTAATAAAGGGCCATTTCAGCTCAGTTTACTGCTAAGGAGTGACTTTGAGAAACCATGTTCAGAAGACTATGAAGCAATCTCTCCAGTCTGTCTGGAACTTTTCTCCCATCCCATTTCTCTCTCCTGTAGGCACACGTTCTGCTATGATTGCATACAACTTTGGTTGCAGGAAGGGAGAGATCTGAAATTAATCTGCCCCATATGTAGAGAAGAAAATAAGAACACATCTTTGGAAGAATGGCAAGATCACTCACACTTCTCATTAAACAGCACTGTTTCCTATTGGACCAAAGTCTGCACATGAGAGATGAGTTCCCGAAGATCCAAGAGGATATGACCCTGGATATAGTCACTGCAAACTCCCACCTAGTTCTCTCTGATGACCTAAGAAAAGTCCACTGGGGAAAATCTGCCACAACTCATTGGAAGATCCCCAGAGATTTGCCTATGTGGCCTGTGTCCTGAGCACCTCGTACTTTTCCTCTGGTCGCCATTACTGGGAAGTAGAAGTGGAAGAAGGGAAGGAGTGGGCTCTGGGAGTCTGCAAGGAATCAGTCGACAGAAAGAAGATTTTTTTTCCTCAGAGCATGGTTTCTGGACCATCAGCACGAAGGCTGTAGCAGTCTACTTTGGCTCCATCCCAGATACCAGAATTCCTACAAACCCTGGTCTTAGCCTTGCAGGAATTTTTCTAGATGTTGAGATAGGAGAAATCAAGTTTTCTGATGTTAGAAATGATGCCATCATCGATATACACAGTGATATCTCTTTGGAGTCCGTGCGTCCCTTCTTCTGTCCGGGGTTGCCTGGGGAAGAAGACAGCGGTGGCCCACTGAGCCTCTGCGCCTGAGAAATTCATGATGTTCTTTCTGCCACAGAATTCTTGGATTAAACCACTAAGTACCTATCCTAACCCATCTCAGTTGGTATAAGGGGCCAAAACTACAGCTGGGTGAGGAAGGGGAACCTGAAAAGGGCATGGAGATACAAGGGAAGAAGAGAGCTGCCTGAGCACCAAGGCCACAGGAGTCAGAGCGATGCAATCCTGCCCACCAGCATCAGAAAGGGAGTGTGCGAGGGGCCCTAAAAATCTCTGCTTGGCGGGGAGACTAGCCCCTCTCCCACCCTCACACTCCTAAGAATATATTTCACTTGAGTGGCTACACTTGACCATAAAGGCCCAGATGATTTAAATGAGCTGGACCAATGGTTTTCAGGCCTGACTTCCAATTACAAGCACAGGAGAAACTTAAAAAAGTTCCCACATCCATAACCATACTCCGAACCACTCACATTAGAATCTCTGGAGATGGGACACAGACAGTGATACTTTTCTTATTTTCTAGGTGATTTATTTCAATGTGCAGCCAGGATTAAGGAACAATGGACTGGAACACGGATTTCAAAACTTTATTGTGCAACGGAATCTTTGGAGGACTTCAGTAGGCCTGGGATGGAGTCCGAGAATTTGCATTTGTAATAAGTTTTCAACTGAATGCTGGTGGGGACAACACTTTGAAGCCAGTGGACTAAAGGACATATGTATTTTAATTTTAATTCTTGTTTTAAATCAATTAATTAAATTTCAATTGATTAAAATTATTCTTGTCTTCATTTTAATTTAAAGCAATTTAATTTAATTTAAATGTCTATGTTACAAACAAACAACCCCTGGAATAACTGAAGAGAAGGGAGAAAAGAATGAAGGAAGATGGGTGATCTTAGTTGGAATTAGATCAGTATGTTAACAAAACTCAGAGCAGTATGGATATTCTTGTCTATTACCTTCCCCCACTTCCCCACATTGATTTTCATCAATTCTGATACCCTGATCATACCCAAAAGTATATGTTAAAAGGATTGCTCACTATGATGATTTAAGTCTGTGTTTTTCTTTATATTTGGTTCTGGAACTTTCTGTAATAAAAAGGCCAATTTTTTTTCTTAGGAAGCAACCAGGAAAAAGTAGTGGAAGTTTTTTGCTTCTTAAGAGGTTGCTGACCTTGAAAGGTCCCAAAGTTTTGTCTTCAAGTTTGGTGAATGCTGATGCCCCCACGTTATTCAGTCTCCTATCCATGTCCTGGAGCACCCTGCTTCCCCTCTGGTCTTTGCTGGTAGGTAGAGGTGGAAGAGAGGACTGGGTTCTGGGACTCTGCCGGCCCTCTGATCACAGAACCCTTTAAGAAAACCAGCTCCGGAGCACAGGCCAGGATTTCTGCAGGCCCTTCCCTCCACTGTGTGAGAATTTTCCTAGCTAATGAGTTGAGGGAAATGACTTATTTTTAGAAAGAGGAAGGAAAGGAGAAGGAAGGAGAGAAACATCAATATTAGAGAAACATCGATCAGTTGCCTCTCGCACACCCCCCAAACTGGGGACTTGGCCTGAAACACTTGGCCCTGACTGGGAGTAGAATAAGTGATCTTTTGGTTTGTGGGAGAGCCACACTGGTCAGGGCAGAACAAGGATGTTTTCTGAGGTTAGTAATGGTTCCCTCACTACACAATTAGGTGAAGGCAACATTGAAACCCACTGAGTATGTGCTCTTCTCTCTCTAAAGTTCTCAGAACATAATACTATGAGTATAGCAGGTTTTCCATTGTTAGGGTGACTTATGGGATATATAGCCAAATCCTGGATATTAAATAGAGGTTTTGTAAAAATTTCATAATCATTCTAGCTGAGCTTGAGCCCAGATCAGGATCTCCTGACTGTAGCCATTGCTTTTCCTTGACCACCTTGCTGCTGCCCATCCATCCAGAAAGACAGTTTCCTCTTCTTCCAAGGAAATTCAGAAAATGCAAATTCTTATTTTTTATGTAGGGCAAATTAGGTCTTTTTTTTGGGGGGGGTCTATATTTTCTTGGGAGGGAGAAGCTTCTTCCGTCAGTTGCGGTTTCAAATAGTGCTACCCTATTCAGCAATCTATGAAGGGTTTAAATTATTTTTTGTTTGTCTTCTTAATTTTTTTCCTCAATCATAAATTGAGGTACACTGTTTTGATCAAGGTGTTTTGTATTGGCTGAAAGGGTGTTTCCATGGAGAGCAAGTAGGAGTGGCTGTCAGCAAGATAATGGGAGGCGTGGCCAGAAAGAGAATTGATGATGAGCCATGGTGCTGTGTAGGGTGTGCACCTGGGCTGGAAGGCCAGGCCTTGAGGAGAAAGGGGATTTGAGGTATATAGGTAAAGGTGCTAATTTTGTGCGTTATGTTGATTAACTGGACGCTTTTCCTTAGTTCCATGCGAAAAACCAAACAGTAGACACTGAAAACGACAAAACTTAACAGCTCTTCCTTTCTTTTTTTTTTTTCCCCAAGAGAATTTAGAAAACAAGTACTAGAAGGATATGTTTAAAATGTGACATAGACCATAGGATATTCGGTTTGGCCAAAAAGTTCTTGTGACTTTTTCCGTAAGATGGTTCTAGTAGTGCTTAATTGTTTTTAACTTCATTTGAAACAATTTCATTAGATTGTATTGTGACAGAGGTCATATCAGTCTGCATTAAAAAAAAACAAAACGTTAAAATTGGTGAATTTTTGTGTAGCTATTTTAATATTGAAGATGGAAGAAAATAAGCAACATTTTTGGCATATTATGCTTTATTATTTCAAGAAAGGGAAAAATGCAACTGAAACACAAAAGAAGATTTGTGCAGTGTATGGAGGAGATGCTGTGACTGATCACATGTGTCAAAAGTGGTTTGTGAAATTTTGTGCTGGAGATTCCTCACTGGGTGATGCTCCATGGTCGGGTAGACCAGTTGAAGTTGATGGAGATTAAAATGACACATTGAGAACAATCAATATTATACCATGTGAGAGATAGCCAACATACTCAAAATATCAAGATCAATAAAGTTATTGGTGAAAAAGAAGAATGTGTCTTTTATTTTATGGAAAAAAATCTATATGAAGTTTTTGGCCAACCCATACGATGCTCTCTCTGGTTAACACAATATTTAAGAATAGAGACAAATATTTAAGTGGGTGTCAAAACATTTATTGGAAATTTACTGTGTGCCAGGCACTGAACTCATTGGGTAAATGAATCATTAAAACTCACAGAAGTCATATGAGGCATTTATTGTAATACCCTTATTTTAATAATCAGGAAACAGAAGCAAAAGGATAAATAAGACTTAAGAGGATTAAAGGCAAAAGATTAAGTGCGTTGCCTAATTATTAACTCCCCTTTCTCCATTATGGCATTTGGCAAAAAAGATAAAAATAGACATTTGATTTAAACAGTTGGGGTCAGAGACCACTAGTCTTAATTGAGAGATGTGGGTACTGCAGAAGCCATTTACGTCCTCCTCGCCTTTGGCCAGCATCTCTGCCTGACATGGTACTCCATCTTTCTAAGTCCTGACACAGAGCTCCAAGGACTCACTGACAATTAAGTGTAGCATTAAGGATGCAAGCTTTTTGCTACTGGATGCCAAAGCATCAGAATCAAGAAAAGGCTACTTGCTGCTCACTGCTATCTAATGTTGTTATCCAAATAGAGGCCAAAGAAATAAATCATAGGCAGCACTGTGCTGCATGCCGCTTAGCATGGGCTTGAGACCACTGATTGTGTGCAGCTCCTCCCAAGTCTGATTTCCACAATGTGACATTGGTAACTTCAGCTTGGCCATGGTGGAGGTATTTATACTGGCCGACTGGGAAAATGTTACAGTTGAGGCCTCTTTTTTCCCCCCTTTTTTTCTTTTTCTTTTTTCTTTTTGAGACCTGGATGTTAAGCATAGTGTCACAGCACTAATCTACGAGCTAGTAACAAAGCTAACTATTGAAAAGGGTAGATAAAACCATCATTACCTGAAGGGCATGTGATTTCCTACATTGAAAATTTTAGGGGCAAAAACACTCCCAAAATTCACAAGATTTAAAAAAAAAAAAATCCAAGCCAGGCCACTTATCCAGCCCTTGGAAACTGAGCAAGCCTCCTATGGTATTGATTAAATTTGCAAATAATAAAACTTGGAACTTAGCATCTATGATGACTTCCATCAGGCGGAGAAGGCTGATTAGCATGAGGGAGAAAAAAGTCAGCAGTTCGTGGGAGCAGGAGAGGGGGGCAGTGACCCTGGTTCAGAAAGTAATCCTGCTGGTTTCAAGGTCCAGAGTCTACGAGTCCAGGGCCCGGTTCTATCCAGACTTTGCTCACTCCTGCTTCTGCGAAGAGACACACTACTGTGTTCTGCTTCTAAACTTTTTGTCTAAGCCAGATTATTTTGAGGTTTCTTTCATCTCGTCCATAACCAGCTTACTTAATTAAATCATCTATTTATTCTTAGGGGATCTATAAAGGAAAAACTATGGTTTTCTCTCTGTCTTCACACCCTCTTTTTCAGAAACCTTAATGTTTTGCATGAGGGGACTTTCTTGCATCAATAGGGCTCTTGTAACACCCTCAGTGCAAATGGCTTATTTCCCAAGTTTCCTGGCACTCTATATAAAAATGTATAGAGTTATTGATTTGTGGTTATAAATGTAATCAATGAAGTTGGGGAATAACACTTTGGTGTTGAAAAGAGGTTAACCAGATATACCAACAGCAGAGGAAATTCATGTCAAGCACCTTGAGTTATCAATTTAGTCATTAATTAATAATATAAACAGACAGCCGCCGAAGGTCACCAGACATTTTTGAGGAAGATTAACATTTTGGAAAAGAAGAACCATGAAAATCAAACAAAAAAAACTGATGCCTGAAAGAATAGTTGTAACTCAGAAGATACAAATAACAAAAAATTAGTATTCTCTTTTAAAATAACCTTTTGAATGTAAAGTTTCAACCATACACGTTAAGATAGCATTTAAAGAACACAATGTGCCTATCAGCCAAG